GGAGGAAGAGAAGGAAGAAAAGATGGTGAGAGAGAGGGAATAAGGGAGGAAGGTACAGAGGGAGGAAGAGAAGGAAGAAAAGATGGTGGGAGAGAGAGAGTAAGGGAGGAAGGTACAGAGGGAGTAGTGTCTTAATCAGTGTTATTGTTGTTATAGTTACACACGCACCCAGGTTTTCAGGTCTGTCGTCAAGGCAAAGTTGCTTGTAAACTATAGTTCGCTTACTTTGTAATAGCAAAAAATTACAATTTGTTTTAATTACATGTTGTACAAACAGGCTATCTTTTATCTTTTATCTCCTAGGATCTATGAGTGTAATCAGAACTGTGCTTGTGCAAGTCAATGTTTCAATCGAGTGGTACAGAATGGGATACAGCTGCGACTACAAGTATTTAAAACAGAAAACAGGTACGTCTATGTTATTTTGTGAAGTAAGACTTTGTCGACCATCTGATGGAACTCTGGACACGATCAAACCCTCTTTTCAAATCAATACTTAAGTACTATGAATTGGATAACTGCGTTCAAACGCCCGTATCAAATTGATACCCAGTGATGCTGTAGTTCTTGTTTATATTTTCTTGCGTGTTATGTTTTCAGGGGATGGGGACTCAGAACTTTGGATGACATACCCTTGGGTACTTTTGTCTGCACATATGCTGGACAGATCCTTAACGAAGACATGGCTAATAAGGTTTGACTAAGAGACATTTCTCAATCTTGTTAAAAGGGTTGTTTTTATTTATCATGTAAAAAAAAAAAAACAGTGATGATGCAATGATGATGTAGCCACTTCCGCCGGAAGTGAAACGTCGCGATCTACATAGGAATGGATCCTGACGTTTTATCTGCGACCAACCAGTCTTCTGGCTTTCAGCCTCTACCAGCTGACGAGGCCAGCTGGTAGAGGCGTAAACCCTTAAGGAGTCGACATCATCTCCTGTAGAAGATTTGCAATATGCCGTCGAAGAAAAGTCGCCATCCACTTCGGAATAACTACATTGTGAAACAAACTTTTTTGTCAATTTGTTCTTGGCAATTATACATTATCATTTGTTTTCTAGAGATATTAATTTTAAAAAAATTAGTCTTTCAGACTTACAGCCCGCGTGTTTTGCCCTAAGATTTGCATCACTTTGGTCTTTGTTCTTTTTCGCAGGAGGGAAGAGATTTTGGAGATGAGTATCTTGCCGAGTTAGATCACATTGGTGAGTAGGCTTGTATTTCAGTTGAAATTGAGATCAGTATAGAGAATTTGGCTCATTTATCTATTTATTTTGAGTGTCGTAGCCTTTAAAGGAAGCAAGCCAGAAATTGTGCATCGTCGCGTTCGTCGGTTTAAATTTCATTCAAGATTTGTATTTGCCTCTTTATGTTTTTCTTTCGTAGCAAACTAAAATCAAGGTAATTTCAATATATCAACAAAGTTGAAATGGTAAATTGGCCACCGTTACGATTATAAAAGATGACGTTTCGAGCGTTAGCCCTTCGTCGGAGCGAATAGAAACGTCAGCTTTTATAATCGTAATGGTGACCAATTTACCATTTCAACTTTGTTGATATATTGAAATTATTTCGTTACCCCCACCGACGCGGCCCCAAACAGTTTCTTTAGAAACTGTCAGCCGAAAATCAAGGTTGTTGGTTAATACATAGACAGCTGCTCATATCTTTTTCTTTTGTCTTTTATTAAACCTTATTAGTTTCGTAAACAAGTTTAAAGATGAGAAAAATTTTCACTCAAAAAACAAAAATGTCGAGGAAGACTGATTGTACACAAAGTTTAGTGGTAATTCCTTTACATTTGCTATTTCCAATCTTCTCGTTTCATTTTCTCTCTTCCATTATCTTTTTGGATCATCCTTTAGTGAATTGTCATTTAAGCTTTCATTTAATAAAAGGATTTGGCAAGTTTCGCCCTTCATATATTACAAGAAACAATTGAGAAGAATCCTTCATGGTATTTCTTACACAATCAAGGCACGAAATCGTTGAAAAGCCAAAAACCATGTTTCTCTTTGCACTCATCTAAAAGAGGTAGTTGAGAAAGCGAAGGAAGGCTACGAGTCCAACGTATCAGACCTGGAAGAGGATGACAGTGTAATTTATCAGACTCTTTGTGCAGACAGCAGTTCTTCAGGGACAGCTTCAGCAAATACTGGTGAAAGGTAACTATGCAATGGAGCAATTGTCAATTGAGCGTCGATCTTAATCTGGGATTGCTTTGGTTTTTACTTAACTTTCTTTCGTGATTGGTTCAGAAAACTCGCGCTATCCTTTCAACCAGTCAGATGCAAAACTTCAAATGATTAGGTAACCTTTGTTCTGATTGGTCGCTTTTGGTTTTTAGACGCTCAGTTGGAAACTGCCCTTGTTTAAGCCAAAGTTTTTTACGCCCGGCGATCGATGTGAAACCTCCAGTTAACCAATAAGATGGAAGGCCAAATCAATTCAACTCGGTCAAACCCGTTGGCCCACCCCGCCTACTCGACGCGGTGGTCACGTGTGTGTACTGGACGTCCGGATTAGTTCGTCTTGATGTAAACGTCCGATGTTTTGGTCTGGTCAATACACTTACCACCAAAACATCTTGTTTAGCGGACTGAAATATAAAAATTGATTATCATTCTGTTCACTTTGTTGAACCGCCTCCCGGTTAGCTCATTGGATTGAGCACTGGACTGTTGTGCGGTAGGTCGAGGGTTCCAGCCCGGCCGGACCAACACTCAAGGTCTTAAAATAATTGAGAAGAATTTGCTAACTTTCTATYACGTCAAGAAATGGTTAGATATTCTAGTCTACTCGGATAGGGACGAATAAATGGAGGTCCCGTCTCCCTCAGGGTTAGGGGTAGGAGACATTAATTTCCTAAGCACGAGATTATTGTGTGCTGGATGTCCTCTCCTGGGGTGGGATGGGTGGGTACAAAGGGGATGGGTGTCAATTGGGACGAAAGTTTTGTTCCTTTCTCCTGCCATTCCTGTGGCGAATGAATTAAATTCTAAAGTCTAAAAATTCTATTTACCTATTTGTGTGTTTTGTTAATGACAGTTCGTTATCCGGAGATGAATCCTCTGAGGTGGATTCTGTGTTGAGTGAAGAAAGTTACAGCTCCGGACGAAACTTGAGAGTTGGTGACGGTGAAAACATTCCACATAAATCATCCAGAAGAAAAAAGAGAAAGGCATGAAGTGGACAAAGTTTTTGTCCCTTATAATTAAAGAAAATCAGAATTAAAGAAAGTTTTTTTTCGAAAGATGTTCAGTGCACGTGTCTATACATCGTTGATCTGAACCGTGCACGTAGAATTCCGCGATGAAAGCATTAGCCCATGATAATTTTAATGCCAGAGAAGTGTATTCCAGCCAGCAAGAAGAATTCGTTTCCCATTAAATTAAGAGAGCCCTGTTTTAAGTCAGTACATATGAGTATCACTTCGATAAAATGTTTCAACCAGTTCTATTGCACAAGCACATGCTGGGTTTAACGAATATAAGCTTTTTTTCATTTATTTTTCACAGAGATCAGAAAGGAAGGGTGAAAAGAGGAAACGGTAAGAACAATTCTTGTAGTTTCTCGGTTTACTGTTTGATTGGTTTGCTTTTTGGTAGGAGAATTTGTTTGTTTTTGTTTTGTTTTGTTTTTTTTTGTACGAGATCTGTCCAATAGAAATTTACAGTGTTATTCACTAAGCCGCATGTTTGATATGAAACGCCTTATGTCCTTCCCAACCCCCTACCCCTCCCGACGAAAATTCAGTTTTCTCCCCGATCTTCTTCGGCCTCGAAAATACAAACGATTCAATAGTACTAAGTAGTTTTCATACAACTACATAGTGACGCCGTACCTATCGCCAGTAGTTATTGTGACCGATGCCCTTCATAATTCTCTTTATCATTCTCGATTTTATGAAATTTTTATTTTGAAACGCTGCTATTTTATAGTAATGAGTTTGTTTTTTGGCTCAGAAATTTTCGTAACAGTTACTTATTACATTAAACGTGATCATTTCACATCTATTTCAGCATTCTTCAAGGAGAAGAGTCGTTAATGGTCGAAGGAGACTCAAAAGCGGTCGGCTTGTCGAACCTTGCTGACGAAAACTGGTGAGTTTAACTCCTTCTTGTATGTAGCTTTTGCATTTCTGGCGAAATGTTGTACGGGTGTTTTAAATTTTCTTTATTTAACTTTCATTTTCTAAAGAACAACTCCGTTCACTTTTGTAGAGGTGTTTTTTTTTTTTCCATCTCAGTTATGTGATGTGGCCTTTCCTAGCTGTTTCCGCTCAGGGTGCTGAACAAACTTTATCTTGCGAGCACGAGCACGAGCACTCAAATGCACGATACGCCCTTACTGTACTAACCCTGAGACCTACAGTTGTTTACTTTGAATAACAATCTGTAATTAAAAATTACGATTTTGTTTGCAGGTGTTATATAGCCTTACAGCGTAACCAGAAGGACGCGGCGGCTTATCTAAAAAAGGTGATAACAATTGAAAAGAATGGTAATACTGGTGTACAGGTTGGCGCGGACAGCCTCCCAGAGGTGAAAGAAGACGAAGTTAACGTCGAGCGAGATGAGAAAGAGAAAGAAGGTAACAAGCAGATGAAAGGTGAGGAAAGGGTTTACCGGAAGTGATAGTCTTATAGAAGTTTGGGAATTTAGCGAGGGTCGGGGTGGAAATGACACAACAGCCTCTAGTGCATCTCAAGTCTTTGAGAACTGGCTCATTGTTACCTGTGAACTTCGTTAATGTTCGAATTAGACCCCAGCTTCAGATGAGCACTTCCTTCGTATCCGCTATTCCCCACCCCACCCTCAAGGCTTAAAATATCAAATGAGCGCTCATCCCACAACGACTACGAACTTCAGAATCACCAAGTGATTCGAAGACTTTGTACAGGTTTTCTGCCAAAGTTGGGAAGGGGAAATGTCCATGTTAGTGCATGTTAAGTTGGTTAGTTCCTTGTGGAGTCGAAGGATGGTGACAGAAATTACAAAGGGACAGAAAGGGACTTGGTGACAAGAAAGACGGCGGGAATACAGTGTAGACTCTTTCTTCGTGTTATTCTTACAGATGACGAAAAGAATGTCGGTCAAAGTAGCGACTTTGACTTTGATGACGTAGATGAGTCGTTTTGCCAGAAGTTGAGGAATAACACTTTAGAGAATAGTCCATTAAATAGCGAGTTAAATATCCCAGGTCCTACGAAAGAAGAAAATATCACGCAGCAGCACGGACAAGAAAAAAATCTGGATATTATTGACTTGACAAGCGATAATGAACTTGATAATGAAGAATTTTCGCAGCTTAGAGAGAGTGACTTTCCCTTGAATCCTTCTCGAGAACAAACTCTTCAACCACAGATCAAACGTGAAGTAGCTACGCTTGAACCAGAAAAACTAGACAAGCAGGAAAAACTGGACAGTCCTGTAAAACCCGTTGAAGATACGAATTCGGATTCTGCACCGTCGCTCATCTCTGCTGAAGATCTCTCCAAACTTGCTGCCAAAAATGCTACTGTCGCTGATGAACCCCCAATATTAACTAAAATGAATCCTGCAATTCGTCGGGTTCCGAATCAGTTAGACGACATGATATTGCGCTTGAAAAAACGCGTCCTGAAGGCACAGCCGTCCCAGTCTGACTCCGGAGTAAGTAGCGCAGACAGACCAACCGTCGTGGACTTTGAACGGTCGGGCTTAGAAGTCCTCGATAAACGTTTGGCAGTGAAATCTTCCCTTCTCGAAACTGCTGTAGGAATTGGGGCAGAACCCTTATCTGAACCTTCTTCTCCAGAAACAGAAAACATGGAATCCTTTCCTCCTTCACCGTCAAGTTTACGGTCAGATTTATCCAAATCCGAATCGCTAGATCGGAAGTCGGAGATTTCTACCGGAAGTTCAAGGAGAAGCACTGGGGCATCTAAGCAACCAGCGAAAAAGCTAAAGAGTAAGTGTAACGCGCAAATTTTTTCATTGGAAGAGGTGATTGTTAACTCGCATGGGGATGCTAAGGCCAATATCCGAGTTATAATGACGCAGTACAATTGCGTGTGTGCTGATGTTAGCAGTGCCTCCACCCAGTGCTTCCACTCAGTACCTACCCTCCTAAGGGTCGAATGAGACGAACTGCAAGCGAAACACGGCGGGAATATAACTTTTTTTTTTTTTTAATTTAATTTATTTTATTCACGACCTTACCAATTACAAATACAGTCACTTACATAACTTACAGTACAATACGACTACTCACATTATTTACAGTTTAACAACGGTTTACACTACTTACAAAACAGTTCAAAGCTTATACCACTTGCTATAGACTAGCATCCCATGCAGGGGCTGTAGCGACCGTCTTAGTCGCTTCATGATGCTGATACCTGGTCTTCCATTTTGTGATTAATTTTGTTATCTCTGTTATTTTCTAGCAAACAATCCAAAGATCCATTCTCAACAGAGACCCACTACGAACACTCCTCCTTCGCTAAAGGCTTCGCCTAACACACCCTCGCCATCACGCCCCTCGCTGTCACGTCAGTCCTCTGTTAGCAGCAAGAGACTGAGCACTAGAGTGATGTTTGGAGAAGAACATTGCTACGTCATAGACGCTAAGGGTTATGGGAACTGCGGTCGATATTTAAATGTATGTATTATCGCGAGCCTATCGTGGGGTTGTCCATTGTAAAATATGACAAGTTTCAGAGGGATAGATATTGCAGTTAAAGAGCCAATACTATTTCTGATAGTTTCCTGGATAAAAGTCAATAACGCATATATCTTTGTTGATTAATGAAGCAAACAATTTTTCCTTTGTAATTTGATGTGCCAAGGAAAAACCTGGCAGTTAAAATCCGGCTTTACCAGATGCAGTTCGTTGGCATAACGTAGCTGATCGTCAGACTTGTTTACTAATTCTTGGTTTGATTTTGTTTCAACAGCATAGTTGTTCACCAAACCTGTTTGTCCAGAACGTGTTCGTAGACACTCACGATCTTCGTTTCCCATGGGTGGCATTTTTCACTCAGCAGTAAGTAACCGTGAATTTCAACTGTGTTTAAGGCAGAGTGGGATTCGCAGTGAACCATTAGTTAGCGCGCTGATGACCTGTCCCAGGCGCTCAGCTAATTGACCCTTTGACCCCCAAAAGTGACCAGCATCTAATTTCTCCTGAATATCACCCCTGACTCACACATTTAGGTCAGGAGAATAAAGGAAATGATCACCAACTAAAGAAGCTCTTGATTGTCAAACAAATTCTCCTTGTCAGCACCTTAGGAAATGTATAGAGAACAGTATGGAGAATATACCTTCTGATGTTAAGGTGTTCAGGGTTAAACGGAGCGACAGTAAAAGAGTGAGGACTGGGTTATACCGCCGATCTGAAAAACGGTTTGAGAAACCAGATTTGAACTCCGGCTAGTGATGTTGGGTAAGACACCGCATCATCCACCTTTGCTGCGTTAGCTGTGCTATAGGAACTTCATTTCCTGTAACCGCAAGCAGTGTTGCACAATAATGATCTTATTTCTTTTTTCATCGCCTTACAGGAACGTTGCAGCCGGAACTGAACTGACCTGGGACTACGCTTACGAAGTTGACAGTGTCAAAGGCAAAGTTTTACACTGCTATTGTGGGTCAGCGGAATGCCGTGGGAGACTTCTGTAAGCTCGCTCTTTCTTGCTCAGCGGTGAACTGATTTTGACTTCCGTTCATGGTGGATTATCCGGCAGAGATGGCTGATCGTAATGCACTGCTCTCTGGAAAAACATATTTGTGCGTTCTTGAGCCTGGAAAATAACGCGTGGCCCATTGGTTAGTCCCCTGAAATTTGGCTGAGGTTCCTTTTAAAACAACGACAGCCTCGACGTCGGGCACTAGACCCAGTTCTTCTTGCTCGTTTCTAAGCTTTATCATCAAACGTTGACTATTCGGGGTTTTCAGATACTAGTATGCCACCATCTACGTGTCTTTTTACTCATGAATGTTTTTGTAGTTACCTGGTTCCACTTTGACAGCATGATTTGAATTTTTATGGTTCGAAATTGTGGAGCCTTCGATCAGGGGGCCCTGTATGGCGGCTCATTCACCGTGGTTTTTGGAAAGAAACGCGGGCGATGACTTTTTTGGATATGTTTGTACAATTTTCATCGCATTTTTTAACAGAGACTTCACATCATGTTGTCATAGCGCATTTACCGTAACCGTGACCGCCCTGGCGGTGAAAAACCAATCAGAGGGCAGAACTGAAGTGAGACGACTGAGTCCACTATTTTCATTTTCAACCAATCAATTGTCGAGTTCACTGCGAGAAAATCCTCGTTTATTTATAGGTGGTTTTTACTCGGCAACGGAGTCAGTTGAATGTCTAGTTCAAACCGTTGATGTTTCAGAACTTACGTTGGCTCTCGGAAGGTAAGAGTTTGAATTGAAAGAATTGTGCTGCATTTAGCTTTTACTGAGTCGTCGGCAGGTTTAGGATTTTAAAGAAAAGAAACGTTGAAACTTTTAAGAAAGCAAAGTGAATGCTGGGATTGACTCGTTACGTATCGAGGAGAGCACCTTCAAATGTTTTTTTAGCCATGTGGCCAAGGGTTTCGGGACATGCTCTTCAAAGTGTTTTTCGATGTTCCTCCTTCATTAGACTTTCCGTCTGGTTACTTTTCCAAACAATCCTCCTTGATGCTCTGTCGTGCGAAAGTTTCCTTGTTGGGTGGGTGTTCTGCAAAAATTTGCGTACAGCTTACATAGCGAGAGTCAGTTGAAACAATATTCATGAATTGTTTTTGTTAGTTTTGCATGTGTGAAGTACCACTTTGGATGTGTATAGTATCGCTTTTTTGGATTTGATAAAGACTTTTTTGCTGGACATTTCTTGATTGTTGTATCAGCAATTTATATGGATGTGATTAGTGTTTCTCCTTAGGTTCCTAACTTCTCCCAGTCCAAACTCCACAGAATGTCCAAATTCCCATTGAGAAAAGTCCTGTAGAAACCACAAAACAACCACACTAGATTTTTCCCATGGCGTAAGCACTTCTCCCATAAATCCGGGTCTTTTATTTCTAAACTGTCAATCAGTTCGCGCGAGTAACATAACTTTCGGTTCGCTTTTTCAAAAGTTCTTTTAGAAAAAGAAGGAACAGAAAATGATCCTTAACATTTTGTACTAGCTAGTGTATAAGGAAATATTCTGAACATATTTTTGGATTAAATTATAGACACGAAAGTGTTGAATTTATATACCAGTAAATATTTCTTTTGATTGTAATCTGTTGCACTCTTTTTCTTATCTGAAGTAACGGCAAACTGTGTCCTCCACACTCTAAAGACTGGGCACGAAATCTGCATTCCCACCCCCTTCTCTCCCCTAACCGTACCCCCGGGGTAAGAGGACTCTTCTCTTAGCTACTCGAAAAGATCTGGGTTCGAGGAAGGAAACTAAATGATTTGAAGAAGGTCGCTCTCGGACGAGAAAGTAACACCATTGAGGTAACAAATATCTGATCCGAAGCGATTTTAAGAAAAAGCCAATTGGGAAATTTGCCAACGTTAAGAGTAAATTGACAGCTATCAGTGTGACCACAAATTATTATTTTCGAAACTCAATTTATGAAAATTCAAGCCTCTTTCATTTTTTTTTACCTTTGAGGTCAGCCTCTAGAATGCTTTTCTTCAAAATATTTTTGCTGTGTTGTACTTTCCTTTGCAATTTAGACTTGATTGAGATTGTTAATTTGCGTAGCTCTTTCCCCCAAAATCACCACGGTAGATTTTTGTGTCTTAGATTTGTTGTGAAGTGGTTTTTTTTTTCTCTGTTCCTATCTGAGGTATAAATAAAGTCAAAGCAGTGACACCCTGCTATTTTCAACTTGTTGATCATTTCTTGTAGTTTATATGTTTCATCGATCATTTTGAATCCAAGACATAAACAAAGCTCTGTTTGTTTCGAATTCTTCATATTACGTAAGCATTGGATGAATTCCCAAACATGCAAATGTACTTTCATTTTTTCACTTGATACAGCGCCAAGCCAAAATGAGATTTAGCAATCTATCGAAGTAAGAAGTGTTTACTCTCTGATGCAAGTAGACATTTAAAGTTTTATTTGTAGTGATATCAGTATTACTCTCCTAGTCGGAGGAGGTCTTCACTCCAAGTCTTTCAACCAGCTGGGAAATTATTAAATGCTATGAAATTTTTCGAACCATGTGTGGGATTGCTTACTTGTCGGTTTGGGATATCAAAGCAGCTTTGCTTAAGAGAATTTTTCTCATGTAAATCTAGATGATGCATTTCGTTTCCTAATTCTGGAAAGAAAATGAAACGCACACAATGACCAGCTAATAGACAGATGAGACAGGGCTTTCAATAGTCTCCCACGGAGCCGTTTATAGTCTCGTCACGCAACGCTCCTCCCCACAAACATTGTGGGGAGGAGCGTTGCGTGACGATACTAAAAACGGCTGCGAGGGAGACAAGGCTTTCAATAACTTTTTTTAACTGGCTATCCATGATGCAATGAGCGTAGCGAACTCGAGATCCCGCTCCGTAGCAATCGCAGAACAGACAGCGGTGAGAAGTCTACCAGGCGATAGTGGACCAGCCTTTGCTGAAACCTTGGATGAGATAAATTAACATATAGGATAAGATCTAGATATTAAAAATTAAGTTCTTTTTTCATCATTTAACTGAGTCAAGTTGCGTATCCCATCAGATAAGGCCTTTTATTCTTGAACTCAAACGAACTGATCTAAGGCAAATTCTCCTAACTTATGGCCATTTACTACTATTACTGGTAAGTGCAATGAACTTAATCACGTAGCGAAGCTATGGTCGTATTTGCATAAATCCCTTAATTCTCGTAATCTGTCTGCATCACGGAAGAGTCTCGATATTCAAAGGAGAATTTCCATACTGATCAATTCGTGAGTCAAAGGTTACTGACAATTGAACTGAACCGGTCGGGGATCCTTACGAATGTTATGAGGGAACAACAAACTTCTGCCAAGTCTGCTGACGTGTGTGGTCTTCTCATGTAACTTGGGCTCGATTACCAACCGCTGTTTGGGAAATGAGCCTGCGCATATGCGGCTGAAAGTGAAAACACTGCCCTTTATTAGGTTTTGTTTCTTACTGAGAACAAGAGACGCTATTGAGTTTTCTAATATATGGGAGAAAGAACAAAGATCCTTTTTCCTTTACACCTCTGAATTTCCGAATTTCCGGAAATGTTACGGGTAAGAAAAACTACCTCCTGAGGACTATCGATAAGTGCATTTAGATCTACGTCAAATAGTCGGACAGGAAACCTTGTGGTTTATGAACAACTTTCGGTTGAAAATTTGCCATTTTGTTTTCTAGTCTGTCCCAAAGCAGCTGCCGAAAATTGACACAACAGTTTACTTTGAGGTCATGAAAATGGCAAAACCGAACCGAACTGACGAAAGCTACCAAACTGAATTATCCTCGAATATAACACGAATCTCATTGTCCAATGCCAGGTGTTGACAAAAAACAGCTAATATCTTTCTTTTTGAACATTCTTGGATAATTTGATAAAAACTGTCTTAAAAAAAGTTGTAAAAATGTCCTCTGGGATGAAACCTAATTATGCAATTTCGACTTAAATTTTTTTCGCCTGCTGTTGTTTGCTTTTTGGCAATATGTGCGCGAAAATTAATTGGAATCCATGATAACAGCCGATTGAGTCTTACCTTGTTGCTAATTCAAATATTCCAGAATATATGTGTATTGGTTTCTCCGTACCACCGCTAACGGCTATTGGTCAACACCTACGGCCGCATAAATGTTCTTCACTTAGACATGACAAAAATTTTAAGCATTGTAATGTTTCCTTTCTGTGGTTGCAATCATGTTTCGTTAGATGATGAAAGAAGGCTTTTCGTTTCCTCGCTCTTTTCGAAAGCTCGAGTTTTATTTAATTTTTCGTTTAGGTTTAACTCTGTGCGAAATTTCTTCCCCAACAGATCTTATCCTGGCAACTATTTGACGTATCTGTAACGTCATTGACCAAAACTTAGCTATCAGTCTCTGATTGGTCACAAGCAAACATCAGTATACGTCATAGTAGCAAACATGGCGCGCGCTTCCCTATGCTAACAATCTCATAGCCATGCATTGAGCGCATTGAGGACGTAATGGATTTTGCTTGATGTAGGAGATTTTGTACCGATCTGAAGGAAATCTGCTTCTTTTCGATCTACGACTTCGAGGATGAAACTGGAAATTGAAACTTCTAAAGATTTCACAGGTCTGTTTTGTTAACGTATCAAATTTGTTGTTGTCGCACTTTCCTGGCCTCGTCGAAATCTTCGTTGTTTGTGGACTATTTACTGTGTTGTCGTGCTGCTTAGTTCAACAGGAGCCTTCGACAATTTTTTTTACCTCAAATTACACAAAAGACGGAATTGTTTTCATTCATTTTTCAAGGCAACTTCGGTTGGTAGTCGAACAACAAGAATATTTTTTAACAAAACAATCGATTTCACTTTTGTTGCTTCTCGGAATAGAAATCTCTTCGCGGATTAAAACCATTTCTGGCCGCGATTTCCTCTGAAGAAGCAAATAATAGGATCGAGGGAAGGATTGTTAACGGGGACAGTGTTTTAGCAGTACTGAAGACTATCAAGAGAACTGAACTCGCAATGGAAGCAAACTATCAACTATTTATGAAGATTGCTTAAATATTACATATGATAAACTGGTAGACCATTTGTAAAGTTTCACGATTCAAGGGAAGTGAACACTGGTGCTTAACGTTTACAAAAACAAAGAATTGAAGCCATCAGTAGCAACATCTCATCGAGAAAATATTTTGAAGATTGAGTTTCCTTTTAGTCTCAGGGATCGCTTTTGATTCATTTGCGAGGGCATCTTTATCGTTTCTCGTTTTATCATAGTTTGTAAACGACTGAAGACCCATCGTAGCAATATTATCATATTGTATTGGACTCCAAAAGGACGGTTTAACTTCGCTGGAAGCCCTGTACACTTACTTTGCAACTCAGCCAGATAATCATGGAATTCTTCCTGTCAAACCCGCTGATTTGGACTACAAATATGGTTTACTGTTGCTGGCTGCGCGCGCTATCTGAAGGAAATCTCTGAAAGAACCCAGCCGATTTTATTGGGTAACACAAACATCGCCAGAAAAATTTAACTTACTGCCACTTGTTTAGTTACTTTTCAAAGGATTGTATTCTAAGCTGGGAATCAAGAAGCTAATAGCATATGGAAGACATTGAAGGCGAACATAGTTATTCATTACGAGAAAAGCAATCGTGGTGAAATCCCTGTGAATTGATTTACTTTCTGATGATCAAGACACATTCGTTGTGGTTTAATGGCTTTTAGGACGAGGCCGTCGCAAAGAAACGAACGAAACTTAGTTTAATGTATATTGAGTGCAGAATGGCTCAAGCTGAATTGATAACCCATTCCTCGAGTGCATTTAGTTCTTTCAATAGGCCGAATGGAACAATTTACTCGGGCCTTTGTACAAGTAAAATTCATGTTGATTCAGCCACAAATGTACTGAGAAGTCTTACACGAAACCTCGTGAATACATACAAACGATGTGGCTTAAAAGTCCCAGAAACAAACGGGAAAAAATCGCGGCAGAATTCCAAAACTGCTGGGAACAGTAATAGTGAAGGAGATTATAAAGTGGTTCTTCATGAAGAGCTTAGCTCCGCAACATCGCGGTACGAGGTTCTCGAATTTCTCGGCCGTGGGACGTTCGGACAAGTGGTGAAATGTTGGAAAAAAGGAACAAACGAGCTTTACGCCATAAAAATATTAAAAGATCATCCTTCCTATGCGCGTCAGGGACAGATCGAGATCGGCATCTTAGCGAAACTGAGCGCTGAAAACTCAGAAGCTTTTAATTTTGTTCGTGCGATCGAATGCTTTCAGCACAAGAATCACACATGCTTGGTATTTGAGATGTTGCAACAAAACCTTTATGATTACCTCAAGCAATCCAAGTTTAATCCTCTACCTTTGAGACACATTCGACCGATAGTTCAGCAAGTGCTAGTGGCTTTGTCAAAGTTAAAATCCCTTGGACTTATTCACGCCGATCTAAAGCCCGAAAATATTATGTTGGTTGATCCCGAAAAACAGCCGTTTCGAGTGAAAGTAATTGACTTCGGCTCAGCAACCCAAGTATCCAAAGCAGTTTGTTCATCGTATTTACAAAGTAGATACTACAGGTAAGTTGGATTTTTAATATTTCGCATATTTCTTACTCGAGAGAGCAGAACTGAGAGGGAATTTTCTTTTTAGAGATCGCGAAACCCTTTAATAACACCAAGAAAGTAATTGCTTTTTCGTGCTTGTAGTTTTTGCAGATTACTGTGAATACTTTCATTATGCGGTTTCTTTTGATTTAAATTTTTGTAATAAACAAAAGTTAAGACGTGATGTTTTCCTCGTTGATCTGTATTAGACCTTGTGAGCATGTGCCAGATCATATTTGTAATGAACATAAAAAGCTATAGAAATTCCCTCAAAATAACAGAACGAAACTTTAATATTATCCCAAATACTATTAGTGTTATTTTATTTTTAAAGGGGGGGGCTCTTTAAGTTTCCTGCATCAAATGCAAAATTTAACAATAACTTAAGTTTTACATCGAGAAAAATAAATGTTGAGATGCATTTGCCTCGATAAGGGAAGATTTAAAATGATAAAACTTTTTTAATTGTGCCAAAACAGGTGAAAGTATCGTGAACTTAGTTCATGAAAAAATGACACGTTTAGTCATTTACCACACTTTGCACCAAGATAATAATAATAATTTAGAGGCTGCTTATAGGCATAAGTAATTTTGAAATTCAAACAATGCCTACAACATCATTTGAATAAGAACTGGAGGCATTAAAAATGTTGTTCTTGAACTTGGGAAAATATTGATGTTCTCTTAGAGAGTTACCCCAAGGATTGAAGCTGGCTAAAGATTGCTTTGAGGGTTGAGAAGCCTAAGGGTCATGTCAAAAATTTGAGTTAAGATAACATATTGCTCACAGAATAAAATCTTTTATTTTAATCAAGGAGGTAAAGACTCTAACTTTTGCCTGGGTGCAATCCTGTTTTGGACTCTGGTCCCCCCAAAAAATAAATTGTGGTTATTACTTTGAGATTTATATGGTAGGAGCTTTGTGAAGTTAATCTGAAACTTAATGTCAACATTTCTAAATGCCAAAGCCAAGACAGAAAATAAAAGTTTAACCAGATCTGAATTAATATTGCATCAAGATAGGCAAGTCGAGAAAGGGTTACGAACAGATTTTTATAGATTTTCATCTGGATGAGTTTGTCCATGCAGATTTATCAATGCCTTTTATTTTTTTGTTAAAAGCAACTTGTCCTGAGGGAAGAGAACATGGTGGGGATGGTGTTTTAAGCTCAGAAAGGGATCCTTCAACAAATGAAGCTGTTTCACAGTTTTGTTGTTGAACCAATCCAGGCCTGTGGTTTAAAAATGGAGTGGGGAACACAATCAGATGTGTATTTACAACATATCAGTTATGTGTAAATTGGAACTAGGTTTTTTTTGTCTGCAACCATGATTTTATGATGTGAGAGAAATCATTTAGTTGACAAAGGTGTGTTGAATAATCAAGTCTGTGTGAAAGGGCTTCTTGGACACTCATTATGCAGTTCACTAGGGAAGCTGTTAGTAAGAGTCTAATTTTGTAAATGACATGTAGGTTGTGAAATTCTTAGTAAAATTACAACTGAAAGGCCAAGCTGTGTGTTGTACATGCAAGAGAAAGTGATATGTCTGTTGCCTATTTTCATATTCCAAGAATAGGAAATTTTCTTTTTTAGTGATATGGGATTTCTCTTTTTTTTACCATCAACCATGCCTTATACTCCCTTGCCCACAATACATTCTTAGAAAGAAAAAAAAAACAAAGAAACAGCACTAGCTGCAGATGCAGAGGAAGTTTTCAAACTTCTCTTTTTTTTTTTCTCTCTCTAGGGTTACAGAATAACATAATCTGATATCTCTCATGAGTGAGACTGATGTTTTTAACCTTCTGGCTTATTTACTAACAAAGCACCATCTAAGTGTTGATAATGTTTAGAATTAAATCTGTCAGCTTTAAAACTCTCTGAAACCTCATGCAAATCAAGTTGAAATAATGAGTAAGGTGTGATATATTACTTCTATTCTTTCATCAGAGCTCCAGAGGTCATTCTTGGTTTGCCATTTGGGGAAGCCATAGATACTTGGTCACTTGGATGTGTGATAGCAGAATTATTTCTTGGTTGGCCATTGTATCCAGGCTCTTCTGAGTATGATCAGGTAATTGACCACTCGACTTAAAAACACAGGAGGGTCGGGGATCACTTGAATGATTTTATGTAACTCAGACTGGGGACTGATTGGAAACTTCTCCTTCCCCAGGAATTGTTGCTTCAATTTAATGAATACTGTGTTTAGTTCATATCTTTCATTGAAAACTTACTCTATTTATTACGTTACTAATTAATTACAGACTGTGAATAAGCAAGTATATTTTGCACACAGTAGTATGCTATCTTTCCTAAACAGTAACAATACAACTAAACTAACTACTTTTTGAGTTTGATGTTTTTCTTTCTTGTGGACATCGCACAACAGTTTCTTTACAACCTCATGGCTTACTTAATAATGATTTTGTTTAAATTTGTAGATCCGCTACATTTCACAGACCCAAGGTTTACCAAGTGACCATCTCTTAATGAATGGCTCCAAAAGTTTGAAGTTTTTTAAAAAAGCTGTCAACACAACAACAGGGTTGTTAGAATGGAAGATGAAGGTGAGATATTTGTGAGTGATGCAACTGATTTAGTACTGTTGTTGTCTTGGAAGTTTGGATTTCTGGAGTAATTATAAATCCTTTTACCAGCTATGGCTAAACTAGAATGTTTGTTTTTGTTGTTGCTGTTTTTCTTCTGACTGTGTTTAAGCAAATGCAAGGGACAAAATGTAAAGAGCAGAAACATTTCTGTTCGGGTGTTAACTTAACAACAAAATTCTAAATATACATTTTAACTTTTGGAGTTTTTAATTTCTATGGTTTACTTGTCTTTATTTATTTCATTGCTGTATTTATGATTTTTTTCTGCTTCCTCCAATTTTCACCATGACACTAGTCTTAATTTTTTGGTTTTACCGCTTTCTATTTTTTTGGGAATGTTTTTGTAATATGCACTACTAGTCCATGATTCCATGGTTCCATGGTTTCATGGGTCTGTGGTATAGTGAGATCTTTTTACATAAGTTGTCTACAATAAGTACATACACTATCACTTCTAATGATACCATTACAAACTAATTTAAGGGCAATCCAACAATAATTGTTTTTAACAGACTGCCAGTGAACATGAAAGGGAAACCAAAATCAAGTCACAAGAAGCAAGGAAATACATTTTCAATTGTTTGGATGAAATAGCACAGGTGAACCTGGCCAGCAGTGTGGTGGGGAATGAACGTGTCGCTGAAAAGATTGACAGGTAATACAAACTGTAATACTGGTATTTTCTTATCATTACCTCTCAAAACTTTAACTAACATGAAAAACTTAGGAGATTTTTGGTCCATTCTTTAAAGATCATTTACACATTCAACAACACGTTGCTTAACTCTTGTGGGAAAATGCTTTATTTGTATTTAATTTTTAAAAACTTGTAGCATTGCAAGGCCTCATAGTTCATGATAATTCTTACTGACTATTCATTTTTTGCAGAAAAAGGTGTGACACTAAAACCATTGATTTTTTCTTCTTTAGGTACGAATTTACAGATTTGTTGAAGAGAACTCTAATCATCGATCCAGACAAGAGGATCACCCCAGATGAAGCTCTCAGACATCCTTTCATCACACTGGCACGCTTGGTTGACTTTGCTCACTGCAATACGTAAGTAGAAATTTGAAAAATGAGTTTTTTGATTAATGAAAGCAGTCTCTTGCTTTGTTTCTGAGATCTATACAGAGAGATCATCATTAAAAGGTGAGAACTTACACTTGAAGTCTTAATGGTAATGGTTTTGTTGCTTCAGTTTTAACATGGCAGTGAAGAGCATGCAAGTTTGCAGATTTAACAGAGGAATTGCTGAACAAACCTCATCACTACCATCTAGTTCTTTGTTTAGTATTCCACGAGCTTCCACAAGTTCATATGTCCATCTTCCAGTGGTGCGAAGTGAAAGCATGTTAAACCAAGAACACATTGGTGGGCTTCCACAGCCCTCAGCTGATCAGTTTGCACCACAGGCTGGTGCACCTGTGGCCCCTCTGCAAGCTGTGGTAAGACTGACCAAATTGTATTCATGATTTACAGGTGTTTGTGATTTTGTTTTTGCTACACATGTTTAAGTTTTTTAATTCTGTGATCTGTCTTCAATTATGATTTTACTCAGTAATAAACCATTTTTCAAAATAAGAAGCTGAAAAGGAAAAGTACATGCGAAAGCATGAAACTACGAGTCAGGGAAACTTTGTTTTATCGTTGATTTTTCTATTTCTATGCATGCATGTATATATATATTAATTTTTTTTGTACTAAGTGTGATTTTATCAAGTAGCTGCCATTAAATAGGTAATTAAAACAACAGCCAGCAAAGTTGAAAATTTATTTCAAATTAAGACTGGTACTTAGTATAACCTAGTATAAGTTACTAGCCAGCATTTTAGAAAGGAGTAGCTGGCAAAAATGCTGGCCACCAGAGCCTCAGGAAAACTTTTTTGTACTACTCCTTCAAATTTGTCAAAACAGCTAAAAAAAACACCTTTCTTTAATTGTTCACTGTAGCAGTCAAACCTTCAGACAACTGCATCAGACTTCATTGGCTCTCACTACATGCCACAGCATGCTGTCCTCTGCCAACAGGACAACTCCTCACCGCATAAACATCTGTTTCCTCCTCAAGCAGCTCCACAGCAGGTATGTACACCTCCACAGTTTGTAATCTTTACTGGCCAGTCTTGTCCAAGTTCATTCCGCTGTTTGGGTTTGTTCACAAGTGGTACAGTCATAGTTCTCATATTGTGTTTTTCGTTATTATCTTTTTTTAGTCCAGACCGGTTGTGGTATCCATGGCTATTCCACAAGCAACTCTCACGTTGCCAGCCTCGTCTGGACTTTATGCTAAAGTAAGTTGTACTTACAGTGTTACACAGAACCTTCAGTATGTTGATATATTAACCTTTTCATTCCTATGAGTGACCAGGACATAATATATCCCTACAGTATCAATACCATATCAAGCAGCCAGGTGTTAAGAATAGTGAAATATATGAATAAGGGGATTATCCTTTGATTCAACGCCAAATCTCTGAACAGACTCTATAAAAATTGTATGTAAGACAGTAAGGCGACATTTCATTGAGATATTTGCAGTGGAAATGTTAACTGACCATGTGATCATATCCTCTGGAAGAGAAAAGTCCTAAGAGAACTATTGTCGATCAGATTGACGGGAATTTTTGTCAGTCAAATGTTTAAATTTGGTTCATGAAAACATGTTCATCATTTTTGTCGTGATTCCATGGTAATGTTTGATTGACAGACAACTCTTTACTTCCCTCTGGTAATGACTTCCGTTCAGGCCGTGAAAATATCGATAAATCTTGACAATAAAAGTCCTTTTCAGGGCTACCCTCACCGGGACAAAGCAGACTACACGGTGAACTGTTACCCTTGGTTACAAACTATTTATTATAAATTTGACTTTCCATATACAGTATATGGGGTCAAATTATGTTTCCTTTTGAAAGAGTACATTTACTTTTGGGTCACACAAACTCACCTTTATTTTTCAATGTCATTTTCAGAGTGTTCCTCTTCAAACGTGGACTCATAAGCGGTTTGGCTCTGATCCGGCATTACAGGTACATTCTTTTGTAAATAAGAGACGGCCACTGGGAAGAGAATACCACTGATCAGCCACTCAAGCGGGATAGGTCCATCGCGCACTTGGAATACTCCCGAGATTGCCCGCTTCAATCTTGCTGAGAGTGAAAGGAGAAAGGGCTTTTTGCTGGCAATCATACTAATTTACTTCCAGATATATACATTTTTTTGCTTCGGGAAAACGTTTGTGGCAGTTTTGGCAACAACAAAGTTACAAACATTCTTAAAATAGGCGAGGAAAACGATATAAACCACCATGGTTTTCATGAATGTATTTGGAAACTCTCTGATGCAATATTTTTGCTGTGTAATAAATCCTATTCTGATGAAGCTTTTTCGATGAAGACTGGACAATACTTCTTTCCGTCCATGAAAACGCAAAAAGAAAGAACCTAGCCAAAATTCAAAATTCAGCCATTTGAACTCCACACTTAATCAGTGTCTGACGCATTTCTCTCCTCTCAGCTCTTACCCCACTGGACTGGTGCTGTAGGTTTGTCAACTGTACAGCCAATCATTCCCGAGAACCTGCAAGGAATGGACAACCCAAGGTATAGTGCGCCTTTTTTTTTTTTACCCTTTACACCCAGACATCAGAGAGCACATTCTCCATACTTTTCTCTATACATTTCCTGGGTCATCCTCGGTGTAAAAACCTGACGAGGTTTTCTTTGTTTCATGAGGTTGTTTATAATGTTTTGTTGTCTTTGTTTTACGTCACTCTTGAGCTTCACAGGTTTTTACACCGAGGATGAACCCATTTCCTAAGGTGCAGATAAAGAGAACTACTTTTGAACCATCAATATTTTTTTGTTGCTGTAGTTTCACCAATTGGTTTTATATTTTAGTCGACCAATGAATCCACCTCCAGTTGGTGCATGGCGAGGCTCTGATGACAATGGTTACATATCAGCCGAACCCAGCCCTGGCGTCTATCACATTGTGAGTGTCGCACAGACTGACTAACAGTTCGCACTTGTCCATTCCGATGTTAATGTGTTTGTTTTTTTGATATGTATGTGCTTATGGCCAGTCTAACTTAGATTGTTTACATGATATTCGCATCTTTGGTTGAAAGGACATATCTTGAATTTGTAAAGCAGAAAAAGGAGTGGGGTGGGTGTCATCCCCACCAATCCCCCCCCCCCAACCCGTTCTCCTTTCTACCCCTCTGTCTGATCTAAACCTAAATTTAGCTCAGGGTTAGAATTTATAGGGTCAGAATTTATAAGGAATTTATAAAGCAGATAAAAAAAAAGTGGCTTGGGTGTCATCCTCACCAAACTACCGCTCCCCTTCGACATCTCGACCTCTTTGTCCGATGTAACCCTAAATTTAGTATGGCTGCTCGGTGAACCTTCACAAACATGTAACGCCAACTCGCTCTCCCTGTTTATAGTAGAGCTCCTGGAATATTATGAAACGGTTGTTTTTGTTTCAACAGGATGGTGATGCATTCGAACGTCCTCGTGAGGTACGTAGAAATTTTTGATTATCAGGAAAGAATTAGGCGACTCGGCACTGACTGATGATAAATGTATTAAAATAATTATTAAACCTGTAGGTGATAATTAAAACAATATACTCCCAGGAAAACTGGAGTTGAAGCAATTGCACAAAGAATAGCCTCAAAAAGTAATTTTTGCTTCCAAGGTACACAAAACTGTTCCTCCCAGATACCAATTGGTTGCTGCTACCAACTGAACTACAAAGCCAATTGTTTGGAGCCAGACTTTGCTCTTGCTAATTATACGCTTATAAGAAAATGTTTGCAAAGTTAGTTGATCAGCAGCTGTTTCCGTTGGGTGACATTTGTATGCATTGTAAACTAATTCCGTTCGTGCTGCCTTTTATAGCCTCGTCATGTAATCAGTCACGAGTGGTCGCGACCTGCTGGTTCAGTATTGTTTTCTGTAATGCCCGTGATGCAGCAGCCAGTTGCCCCGCCACCGGTATGGAGTGGACCTCATATTCCTGCAGGCTTGTTGCCATGGCAGTTGTCATCGAATACGTTCCAAAAGGGCCCAAACGCTCACGTACCAATTGGACTGTCTACTGGGCACGTTCCACTAAGACGTACGGTGTCCTCTCCGGGTAGGCGAAGGGTCAGTGAAAGGGCTTATTTGTTCGGGGATTTCAACCAAGTGCCGAGCCCCCTGGGATTTGTTCGCCAGGAGAGCGAGCCCTCTGGTACAATAGCTAAGCAGACTTCCTCGCCCATTGAAATCCCAGACTCCCCCTCGTCCCCGAGCGTAATTACAGTTTCTAGTTCGAGCGATGAAATGGAACCAAATTCCCTGGATACCAACAAGACTGACATTAACTCCCAAGAGATCGAGGATGATGTCGACGATGATGACGTCGAAGACGAGGGACCCGAGCAGTGCGACGTCACGGAGCACGATGATCACTGTGACGGATTCGGTGATGACGAAGAAGAGGAAGACGATGATTGTATTGTGACGTCATCATTTTCCCTCGGAAGTGCAAGTCCCGGATTGAACGAGTCCATGGATCACGCTCATAGTAATACTGCGTTTGCCAGCGGTGTTGCTAATGAGGAAATGGTGTCTTCTACGACCACGTATGAAAACGTTCGAGACATTGAGCATCAGAATGAGCATTTAAGAAATTTCCATGATCATCGCAACGGAAAAGACAGTGCAATGATATACTGCTCTGACACTGAAAGTGCGGACGAGAAAGGAGAAATTACAGAAGCATCTGGAAATTACGGCCTGATGGCCAATAATGGAAATTCGTTGGATGGACGGTTGCATCATGGGGGATTTCCTTCCTTTCTCAGTGGTGATTCAATGCAAGGTGCATCATCGCATCTCTTTGAGCCAGGGGCACCTCATCGCAGTTCAGCCAAGGTGTCTCGTCCCAGTTCCCTTGGCATCATCCCTCATTACGGTCAACACGTTGGACCGACTTACATCTCGCCAACACGACCTTACCCCCCTTCCCAAACTCTACTTCTCCCTGGAAGTGAACCTCGCTGCTGTCCCAACGATTCTTTCCAAGACACAAATTCATTAGTAATCCTACCACCTTCGCATGCGCAGTTTGTGTCACAACCGCTGTACACAGGTGTAGCAAGAATCTCTACTGCTGGCCCAGTTTCAGGTCACGTACCGTACTCTTATGTTACTTCAGCGGGTGGTACTGGACCATCGTTTGTGAACCCAGGCCTCCCGCAAAGGCAGGTTCTCTCTCGGGGAAGCTGTCCTGCGCCTGTGCAGCCTGGCCTTGCTATAACAGGCGTAGGTTACCAAGCACCACCCTCGTTTATGAATCAAAGGTACCAAACGCCTGTGGTAGGTGCTGTGAAGACTTTTAATGTTGTGCCCGGCGGTGCTTATAACGCATACGGCAGATATATTTTAAATTCGAGTCCGACGAAACAAAGAGTGTTTTATCCTTGATTCAATACAAAAAAAAGAAAAGACGAAAAGAAAGAAAAAGAAGTTTGTGATTGTAGCTAAAGAGCAGTGAAATGTCATGTTTCTGTTCAGGTACAAATAGTGTGGGATATTGGGAACAAGCAAATATTATATAAATGCAAAAAATCTTACTAGCGGGTTTGATTTTTAAGTTATTGATGTATGCTGTCATTGCATATAGATGTGTTTAATATTTTAAAACCAAGTGTGCTCATTAATTTATGATATTAGAGGGGTGAAGTTCTTGTCGTAGAAAAGTGAAGTAATAACTACGGCTACAAAGCTGTGAGCTTTTCAATGTATACTAGTATTTTAAATCATGCGTCATTAAGCAAGTCAGTTATTTATATTATGCACAAGAGGGCATGTACGTTAAAATCGATTTTTCCGCCAAGTGAGTGTATCTGAAATTACACGAGTAATAAGGGTAAGCATTAAAAAGCCAAATATGTTTGCGATTGTGACCGAATAGAAAACGTTGAACCTTGAATTATGATTAGAACTCAGACAATCTTAAAATAATTTCAGTATTTTTCGAGAAGATTGATGATTGCAATATATTTAGAATTGGGTGATCAATTAGCAGAACCATATTTCATGTATTTTTTTTTTAAAAAAGAACTCGAGCTTGGAATATACCTTTAAATATGTTTACTGATTTTATTGCTTTTGATTCTCCAAAAATTTGACTGCCACTGACGAATTCTGTATTTCATCGACGTTCCCGGTGAAGTAAATTTGTCGGTACTGCAGGTGCAATTTGTTGTCTCAGTCATATAGGACAATCGAAGTCCAGAAGAAGTGTTGCCCCTATAGAGTTTTCAATTGCAAGTTTTGATTGGTATAGTGTTTTCAATTGATGTTGTTAAAAGGTACATTTAACTTTTCTGGTGTTGGGAAGCGATGAAACAATTTAAGAATAACGTACAGTACTTTAATTATGAAAAAAATTGTAAGGTACCTTGATTTTTAATTGTCAGATCAGTATTGGAGCAAGTACTTTGTTCTTCATAAGAATTGAATGTAATTTGAAGAGTATGACTGGTCTTGTTTTTATTGAGGTTACTCGGGTGATAAATGTACTCAGGTTTTCACATGTGTGGGGTGGAATTATCAACTAGCTATTACGATTCGCGTTGGTCGGTCATGTTGCAAGAGTCAGAATATTACAGTATTGATACCATCCGTAAATAGTTGGATAATTGTTTACCTTTTGCCTTAAACAAAACAGCTTCCTGGCGGTAGTTATTTTTTCAAAGAAATTCGCTGATATTTTAAGATAGTAATTATTATAAACGATACACTGAAGTATTGTTTCTTCGATCCTTGTCAAAGCTCAGTGCTTTTAGGAGAAGCTAAACCTTAAACAATCTTAACACACATTTTTATCGAGTAATGTTTCTAATGTAGGGAAAGTTGACTCTTATAGGTTGGGTATTGATACAAAAAAAACCTAATGTTATTTATAAACAATAACTTAATTATGTACGCAGATTCAACCTGAAGGCTCGGTCACAGGGACCTTTGATTCACTTTTTTCAATCAGATATTGCCTTTTATAAATTTTTCTTCCATTAGGAAGTCTCTTTCCGCCCTGTGACAGAGCTCTTGAGGCGACGATTTGTGTGCAGCAAGTGTAAAAAGTATATTTTATTCAATATTGGAGTCTTGGTACGACCGTTTTATCAATGGTGTTCTTTGTAAATACAGAGCATTGATTGATTTGGAGGCCATTGGGGAAGGCCGACAATGTTCAATAAACTTATTTTTTATTGGTGGGAAACGTGTGTAGTGTATTTGTTTCTTTTTTGTTTGTTTTTGTTTTTGTTTTTTCTTTCCTTTGTTTAGTTTTTTTGTTTCTTTGTGGTGTTACGGTTTGGCTTCAGCAGGCCGACGTGCAATTGAAACGCAAACATTGCATATTATGTCAGTCGTTTTGTTATAAATGTCTTTACAATTGGCAACGCCTCCGCGCTTTTCCTCAGGTAATTCATCTCGCCTTTACAACGAGAGAGAAAGAGCAGGAGTAAATAAGGTAGGAAAAGATAGCAATCAACAAGTTATACCACGGATTATCGATGAGGTTGAGCTTTTAATGTACCGTGCGGTTGTAGGCTATCTGTTTCTTCTTGCGAAATTCCACTGAATTACTTTTACTCAAACAGTAGAAACTAGAAATGAGTCTACCACGCAGGCCCCAGCCCTCTGCTCGGACCTTATTGGCAGCGCGAGAACTGATTCCTTTCAACGAAAAAATTGCCAATATTTATTCAGCTAATTTACTTCAACCGGGAAATGTTTTTAATATCCAACGAGGGCAATCCACATCGACTTGTTAGCTTACTGACAGAATGTACCCAGGTGGATGACTCGTGATGTGAAACTAAATGACGTGAGCGTGATGTTTGTTTACACAAAGCCTGCTGCAGTTTTAGCAGTCGAGGTACAGACATTGTCATTTGATCATGCTTTGAATTGCATCGTTGTTCTGAGCTGGTTTTTTTTATCATGGGATATTTTATGACATCGGCAAATCGTGATTAGTTCTTCCATTTCCAGCTGTGTATGGTTGCCAGGTTTAACCATGGACAGACGATTGCAATATGTACAGCCAACTATTGTGTTATGGTGAGTAAAGATTCGAGCGGTTATTTATCAAAACTTTATAGATCTGATTTTAAACAAATCCAGAAAGGAAAGTTACACTGTAATGGATATAGCGAATAAAAGTTTTTACCTGTAATCAGATATGTATTAGAGCGTCATCGAAACAAAAGGCAGCATCGACCATGATACAATTTTCCGACAAGAAAAAGGCAAATGGCTACCAGTTTCAACAGTTTGAAGTAAACTGAGGACTGCAGCTCAGAGGTCGATTGATTGCTATTCCAAATTTAAAAATAAGACGAAAAGTCCAACCAAAATTGTGTAGTGTTCTTTTGAATATTATATGAAACTCGGCAGTAGAATACGTCTGTTAAAATCTTCCATTCGATGTTTACATTTGACACGTTTATTGCCGTAGCAACTTTCCCTTTGCTTATTCGCAGACATAAAGCTTCTTTTTATTTAATGAAGGCTGATAGTTTCTAAAGAAACTGTTTGGGGCTGCGTCGGTGGGGGTAACGAAATAATTTGAATATATCAACAAAGTTGAAATGGTAAATTGGCCACCGCTACGATTATAAAAGCTGACGTTTCGAGCGTTAGCCCTTCGTCGGAGGTGACCAATTTACCATTTCAACTTTGTTGATATATTCAAATTATCTTTTTAATTAAGCCCATTTGTGACACATCTCAGTAGGCCGGATGTACTCTAGCCATTCAAAGTCTGAAACTGAGACTGATTAAAAATAAAACTAGCATATGCCGAATAAATAATACTTCCAAAAAATTTCCCTATCCAAACTATGCTATTTCTCTCAAAAATACGAGCTTTCTGCGCAAAAAGTTGGTCTAAGCTCGAGAACTATTCCCAAACCTTGGGAATGTAGTTCAAGATCTATTTCTAGTTTCTTATAGCGATGATTTGTCGCGAATCTCATGGAAAATAATCATCTTTCTTAATAAAAAAAAAAGATAGGATCGAGAGTCAGACTTTCTCTGAGTTTGATGAGCCCGCGATACAAAGGGGGGCGTTGCTTAGTAACAGGTGTGAAGTTCGCGCGTTGGTGCAAGGTTGGTAAGCGTTTCTTGAGGGTTCGTTTTACAATGGAAGAATTGACTGAACTGATCCTTTCTTTTTTACGCTTTTATTCCTGTATTTCTTTGGTATTGCTGATTCTGGGCTATTTGAACTTTTTCAGGTTATAAGTACAACTTTAAAAACAAAGTTTATTTAAGGACTGAGATCCCAATTTATAGACAGTGATCTGATATCACGCTTCTCTCTAATAATCCCCCACCCCCACCCCCATGATGAGTGCAGTTTTCTCTCTAATATTTCACGGTCATAAACTGAAACGTGGACCGAAACTTGATTGTTTGACTGAAACACGGACTCACCGTAGCCCACTGACTCACTGCCAGGTCTGACAGCCCGGCGTTCCATAACTCAAATCGGTACTTTTCACCATAGAGAAGTTTTCTTGTAGGGCACCATGGTCGTGTCACATTGTCAGAATGACCTGACTATCTGCCGACCTTTCAATAACTTGTCTATGTGTTTTTTCGTCAGGGTGATGTTTTCTTGAAGAGCTGTCGAGACCTATGGTATATTGCCAGCATATAGCATGTGTTTCGTCAACGAACTGATCTTTACCTTGTTTACGGTGGCAATAAATTTACACCAATGTGGTGAGTAAGATGAAATATAGTTGTTCGAAAAAACTGCTAAGAATGAAGTTTTTCAACCGCTGGAAAATAATATCTGTATATCTGATTCAGTTTCGTGTTTACAAATATGCTTTTTGGGAAACGAAATGATAAGGGGGGGGGATACATGTACTGCAATTTAACGCAAACTCACAAGCTATGTTTTTTAGACATTTTAGCAATAATGTTTTCATGCCCAGCTTGCCTTCAATCAAAATAAAAAACATTTCCAACTGTTTTAACGGATACATACAATAAAATATATCATTTAGTGACTGCTTTCCAGATACAAATGTCACGTTCCTTTCATAGGCGCTGAGATAAATCTTCCATTTCAAACCAGGACTGCTCAGCAATTGCGCACGATAAGGATCAAATGTAAAGTAGAGGGTGAGCATTTTATTGCCTGGGAGACACCCTCCAGCATTAACATTACGCAGGACCTACAGAAGTATGGTAGATTACGGTTGGAAAATGATACAGACTACTATTACACTCTAGTGATACAAGACGTCGTAGTTGAGGATGGTGGTAATTACACATGCAAGGGATCTGAGCAATCAAAGAGCTTCACCCTGGAGGTCGATTGTAAGTGTTAATAAAGATAAAGGGTTTCATATACTTTAAATAGGTGTAGATCAGCTACACATCGCTCCTGATTAAGAGACTGTGGGTAAAAGTACTTGGAACTTTTTTGAGATACATAGTAACTGGACCCCTAAGGGCGCAAAGCGCGTTTTTCCCAAGACGCAAAATGATGGTATAAATGGTGCTTTAAACCTGTCACTCTAGCACAAGTTACTGTTTACACAAGACGCACCTCTTGTAAGACAAGGGGTTTAGGTGTGTCTTGTAAGACAAGGGTGTGTCTTTAGGTGTGTCTTGTAAGACAAGGGTGTGTCTTTAGTCAGCTGTGGCTAATGTGAGACGCGAAATCAAACACACAATTGCATCGTGTCTTACTGCGGCTCACAAAATCACACTGCGCAAGCCCAAATATCACGTTGCATGCGCTTACTCGAATAGACCTGAAGGTAAATGGTTAACTGATATATATACCATATATAAACCATGGCAGTTAATGGAGGAAAACAAAAACCTTCTTAACGGTTTGCCGGAGAAAATAAATGAAAAGCAGTGAACATCAGTGAACAACTATATTCTGTTGCGGTGAGTCAATGAATCAATAATAGTGCGAACACTTTGCATCGTGTTTCAGAAAAGCGCTCTTATTGCTAATGACTAAGTCGAACCTTATTTCCCAAAAGTGACCAAACGAGAATTTCTCCTTACGATATCAGTTTAAAATCGAGCAGACAAGTGATGAGAATAATCAGGTGATTACTAGTTGATCTACTGGCACATTCTCCGAACTAAGCTCGTAATAATTGTATGCGGGTAGAAAAGAGTATTATTAATCAGATCACGGGAGTCAGAGGGTTAAAGGCTTGTAAACGTCACACCATATTTTCCTTCTGTAAACGTTGTTAATGTAACCGTTTACTAGTTGCAAGCCATGGCATCAAAACCCCTCAGCGACTGATCCACGGCCAAAATGGTACTATACAACTGGAGCTGTCCGCATACCCACCTCTGAAATATCATTGGACAAAAGATGGCAAGGATTTGATTCTTCCCACGGACGGGAAAGTCTTGGATCCATATAGTGGCTCAATAAATATCACCAGGGTGGGGAGGAACGACGCTGGAAATTACACATGTAGAGCGGTTTGGAAGGAGGGGAGACCCACAGAAACTGAAGACTCTGTTGAAATTGAAGTCCTTGTCGTGGGTGAGTTCTTTAAACAAAGAATCTTTTTTTCTGTCTTCTAATTTGCTAAAGAGAACAGTATGGAGAATGTGCATACTGATTTTGGGGTGTAAAGGTTCAAAACACTCCTTAGGACGTAACCAATTATGACATCATGACGGTGCCTTTCCAAGGACACGTCCTCACTAAATTTGAAAGACACCTTTTTTATTGCTAACATAAAACAGATGAAAAGTTTGCGTATTGATAACAGCCATTTCAATTTATTTTAAATGGAAACGCCGCCTTGGTCCTGGATAAAGAGAGACATGTGCAAAATTTTCTAACACCAGCTTTCTTTATTGGCACGTGGTACGTAATTGCAAAGTTGTTAGTCGGAAATTAAAAGTGATTGAATGGTAAGTTTCTTCTTTATTTAGCGACCTGTCTTCTAAATCAGCGAAAGTTTAGTAGGCCTTGTTGAAACCAAAACTTCTGCTTTGAAAATTGTGAGTTGCTAGCATGTAAATTCTTAAAAAAAAAAAACAGAGCTCTTTGTTAGCATGTAAATGTTTAAAATAGAACCTATCCCTAACCCATCAACTTTTACAATCAGAAAGCGCAGATGTGTCCAGTTCATGACGACAAAAGCAGCCGGCAAGGAAATCTCTCTCTCGCTTCCTGGATGAATACTGTTTTAATTCTCTAAAGCTATTACTGGTCCTCTTTTGAGCGATTAAAATGCATTGACGTAGCGCACTTGCAGCTTTGAGCGTTTTGTTTCAGCAATCTGAGAGCGTCCTAGACTTATAAAAAGTCGGTGCAGGTTACAGCTTGAGTTCCTTAGAGCGTTGGCCAACATTTTCACACCGGTGTCTGTTATTGGATTGTTGGCTAGCGACAAAATTTTCAAGTTTATTTGATCAGTAGGTAATGCCTGCAGCAGGCTCTTGACTCCTTTGTCAGTGATGAGGTTGTGGCCAAGGTAGAGCTCTTGGAGCCTGCACGACTTGTGTGCCAGAGCTTTCTCGACGAACTCAATCCCATCGTCAGTGATTTCGTTGGAGCTAACGAACAGGACTGTTAGGTTGCATTCTCCTTTGCACAGAGATTCGCAGAGGTCTTGCATTCCGAAGTCAAGGATTCTGTTTTGCTGAAGGTAAAGACGTTTCACGTTACAAATGGGACTACTAAGAGCTCTGCTTAAATGAAAAGCACCATTGTGGGTTATTCCATTGGAACTCAAATCTAAGGTGTGGATTTTGCTACTTCCACAGCAAAGGGCTTCACTGAAATACTCCACTCCCAGGTCACCGATTCTGTTGTTGCCAAGGTGAAGCTCTTCCAATGGGCACCAATCGTTGAAAAGCACGCAGGCAAGATATTTTGCTCCTTCACTGGATATGTCATTGCCTCTCAAGCCAAGAATCCTAATTCCAAGGAATGACTGGCTTGCTGTACTTTCCAGAAAGGACAACATAGCACCATCGGTAACACCAGAATTTGTCAAACTCACTTGGTCCATCTTGCAGGATTTCTGGCAGATGGATGCGGCCACTTGACGAAATCCGGCATCTTCCATGGAATTGCTCTCAAAAATTACTTTCTTGGCATTGCAACCATTGGCCTCTCTTAAGCAAAATAGAATAGCCTGTATCTCCAGCGGGTTTGTGCCCATCTCTGTGAAGACAATCGGCTTTGACGGTGATATGGAAGATGTCGCCTCTTTAGCAAAAGGATGGCCCAGTTTTGTCGGGTTCTCGTAGATGCATTTACAAAGGAAAGCAATGGCTTGGTTATCAACCACTGGTTCATCGACGAAATGATTGTTAAGTTTAATCGATTGGGTTAAATGTTGCATCAAGCACACAAAAGTACTCTTTCCTTTTTGTCCATCTTTGCACAACCCAGCAACAAACTGCAGTGTTGCACATTGGTTCTCGTTTGCCTTTTCCAGAAAATCACGGAAATCGCCCGTAGTGCTGGATTGAACAATTCTGCTGGCAGCAAAGTACTCTTGGAGGGACAGACAACTGAAACAGTACATGTTCGGCTTAACGCCTCGTAAGCGACATAACAAGCCGGCTTCCTCAAGAATTTCCACCTCAAAAGCACTCAGTTCAACCTGGGCGAAATCTTCCTTTCTGAAGACGTACCTTTCGTTGGTTATTCCTTCCAATGCAAGACATGATAGTTTTTCTAAGACTTCTTGAGAGTCCTTTGAAAAGTCATAATGACCCGATGGGAATATCTTGTGGTTACTTTCATCCGATTCCACCGTAGTTACGGTGTCAATCATTCTCTCGAACAATTCGGTTGTTGTGGTAGGTAGTTTGAGTGAGTCGATCTCCTTAATCGTTCTCTTTGAAGCCAAGAAGTCAACATACAGACAGAACAGGCGGCAGTTTTGAGGTAAACGACAAGCAACTTCCAGAGTGTTGTCACTGAAGATGCGCTTTTTGACAAAAGTGCAGAGTTCTTCGTTGTTCTGGAAAAACGCTTGGATGCAAGTGTTTAAATCTTCAGGCTTGAAACAGGCAAGCTCAGCACGTCTATCGAATGTCACCATCTCGCCAATCTCTGAAAGTGAGGACGTTGGCCGCGAAGTTACAATGATAGTTGATCCAGATAAAAGCTCACCAGAAATAAGTTTCAAGGCAAGAGAAGCTGAAGACATCACTAATCCGTTTTCGTCCGTGCCAGATGAGTACTCCACCTTAGACCTCAGAGACCACTCATTGAGGCCATCGAAGATAAAGAGGACTTCCTCCGGATTTCCTACAATTTGTCGATAAACAACGTCACTAATATCAGAATTAAAACGGGAAAGATTTAGAAACGCTTGTAAAGTGATCCATTCATTAACTAGATTGAGCTCCTTGAAATTGAAAACGAAAACAAAATTAAGATTACACAGTCCGCTTTCGACAGCGTTGAATTCTTCGACAATCTGAGCAACAAGTTCAGTTTTGCCAATACCCGGTGGCCCTGTTAAGAGGATTCTTTTCGGATTTTGTGCGTCTCTACCAGGCTTTAATAAATCCAGTAGAGAAGTCACGGGAATTTTTTTGGTTCTGCTGAAGGTCCTAAACAATTCTTGCTTCTGTTTCTGCTTCTTGATTCCTTTGAATTTCAGTTTCTGCTGTGAAATGAAAATCTTGCGAGGAATACTGTGCACTAACGAACTCCAAGATTTGATAAGCGGATGTCGGTTTTCAGGTCTCTTCCCCCGGAGTATTTTATTCCTTTGTTCTTCTAAAAACAATTCTTTCTCTATCTGCATAGCAGTAGCCTCGGTCACGCTATTGTGTCGCAATAGGAACATGCAAAAATAATAGTCAGATGTTCGCTCGAAGGCTCGTGTCTCTCGCCAGGTATAGATAAGCTCTGTCAAATTCAGTATACCGCAAAACGTTACAAAGGTCAACAAAGCGATATTAAAGATTGATGATAGGAAGGCTTGATCGGCGTAACAAATAATTGAAGTAGAAATCGAGCTACGCTTCAAGAGAGATGAGGGCGTCCATTGTATTTGGTACTCCTTTCGCAAAGGCAAAACAATAGAGTGCGTGAGACAGTTGTATACAATGAAGATCGCGGAAGACGCAAGCTTTGTGGCCAGTTGGAGGACATGAGCCCTAAAAACGGCTGTCGATATTTTCAATTCGGCGAGGATTTTTCCACGCTGTTTACGAGTCCTAAGCTTGAACCAAGTATTAAATCTCTCCGACACGTAGGACATGTATAGATGGATGATTGAAAGACTCAGTAGAATGAAGATTATAAACATACCCTGTGAAACACCGCCGAATTTATTACTGTAATCTTCGACATGGCGAGAGGTAAGGTCTTTCTGTTCGTCCACGTCGAGATCTCCATCTCTTACATCACATCGAAATCCAGAAAATACACTTTTTCCGTTTCGATGCCATGCGACACCCTGCAATACTGGCAATATACATAACACGGACGTTAGAAGGCCCCGTTGAAATTTCCCCGCTCGCGTTAGACTTGGCGATTCAAAACTTTCTGGAAGGGGAATCCTAATGTGGTTGAATATCTCCATTACATTGACACAGTACACCGGCTGTACAGTCGATTCGTACTCAAAGACTTTCCATCCAACCGAACCGAGGACATGTTGTATCAAATTGATATCGTGGTTGATTGAATGTTGTCGTGTCCATGCTGATCACAAAGCACTTGGGCCGTAAGAAATCTGTGTAAACATTTATGTTGGATGAAGCAGGTGTAAATCAGCTCATATATGAAGTCTAGTCACGCCACCTGTTCACTTTAACTCTTTCGCTGAAGAAAGATCGTGATGTGGTTCTGTGGAAATATTCCTAATACGTTGCGTGACCGACGCGTGAGATGATGTGAAACAAAAGTATTATTATTCAGCTCTGTGAAGGAGATTAACATTTTTGAAAGTGTAGTTATATTGTGCCTGTTATTGTGGAGTTAGTTACGCGTGATCAGTTAAACGTAGAAGCCTCAAGAGCCTGTCTAGTGTTTCTGAGAACTCGTTCAGTAAATGGAACCTACTAGATAAGCATGAATTATGTCTGGCACGAAACAATTAAAGCTTTCTAATTTTTTTCAGTCTTATACGTTTTGTTATCAAGAAATGGATGCCTGGGGAAGACGATATTTCTTTCCGTAAATCAACTTGTTAAGTTTTGATTAGAATTATAAATTTGTTCAATAAATAGATATAGTAACAGGGAGAAAAAAATTGAATTTATCTGTTCGTTCCCAGACAGGCTTAGTGATTTATCGCTTTGTCACGCAATAATTTTCGCAAGCTGTGTTGCATGAGAATTCAGTTATTATTTATTTTGCAAATATTTTCTGAACATTTTCAGACACTTAGGCTAAACTCTAAGAGTCTTGAACCCTGTTTGGTAACTTCAGATAGCAGTTCTGACCATTTCATAAAAGAACTTTTTGAAGAAAGAGAAACCTCGGAATGATCACATGATTTTATAAGTGTGAGTTAATTTAAGCGACGCGTCGTCGAAGTCGATCGACAGCTTGTTGTCATGGTTTTATGGTAATGCAGTCTCACAACAGCTATGAGCAAACAACGTCTTTTTTAAGTGAACAAATGTAACACATGTTGTAAAACCAATCCAGATGAAGAGAATAAGAAGTCAGTCGTAATGTGGCCGTCTATGAATGATATCGGGATGCGAATGGGGTCGTTGTGGATGAGTTTTGTCTTGGTTCTAGTTTTCGCAACGTCGAAGTCGTACGCCGCTAGTTCGAACTCTGGCTTCGTTTCAAGCGTGTTGCCAAGCATGTCAACGAGTATTCTGTACCCAAGCATCCAAAATATTACATCGAGTAAAATTGCTGGATTTACTAGCACAAGTAAATCACCAAATTCGGGTAAGTGAGCGATTTATATTGTGTGTACGTGGTTTATTTATAACAAGGTATCTAAGCGTGCCTTCCTTCAGCTGTTAGACGTGTGAATATAACTGAAGGTTTGCATGTTCGTATGCCTAAATCGTTGATTTTTCCAGATCGTTTCTCTATGAAGTAATCCACATGATGACACCGGTGATTCCTCAGACTACGTGCACTCGTGTCTTTAGTAGATTGGAGAAATTGTCAATTTCTGGCTTCAGAAAATCGTCACTGTTTCCTCTCTCTTGTCGAGCGAATATTTTTAATTGCGATGTGTGAGGCAAGGTTGCTTATATACAGACTGTAATCATGACTTGAAATATGCAGTTGAAAGAGACTTAAAGTTACATGTAGTGCTTCTTTATCAACTAATTATACCCTTAGAAATGAGCACTTTAAAGTGCCAAAGGCCTGTCAAATTTCGGTCTTGAAAATACAAATTTTCCGTCATAATTTTGTTACTTAAAATTTCTGTTTTATTTTATTCCCGTTATCATTGTTTAAGCTTTGTAGTCTCTGAACTTAAATCGGGCTGCAAGAACTCTGCGATCAAAGCTACCTATGTTTTGATAAAGTTCTTCAATTTATAAACCATTTTAAAGATACTTGGGTCTATCGAGTCTGCCGATCGAGTGTTTGGCACTTCGTTCGAGATACTTCGAACCATATGACATCTAGGTTTTAAACGCACATTCATTATATGCCCAATGGAGATGAGGTAAACCTCGATCCTTGTGATTTTGGGTCAAGCAAGTCAAAGAAAAAATAAACTTGTAGTTTATATAGTGGGGTGCACAATGTTGTGAGTTATATAACTGAAACAATACAAATATTGAAATTTTCCTTTTTTTGAACCGTGATCGTCTTATTAAGGATTTTCTAGATGAATGAAGTTCCAAAGACAGCTTTTTTCCTCTCTTTATTTTCCACTCAAATTTTAATCTTTCTAATGAAATTCAAAACTGAGATGTGAAAAACTATTTACTTGTTCAAATTTTGTAAGAACTGATATCATATTCGTCAGCAAATAATTTTTTCGTGACTCTCTTGTCATGTACAGATACTCAAGATGTACATTTGAGATATATGATGCAAATCTATTGTAAATTACATGGTATCTCTAGTGTTATTAAAATTTTGGGTGTGTAAAATTTGTCTTAATTTCAAAAGCAGCTCAGATAAGTTTAAAGTAGTTGTGTATGCGTTTATCAATACGGTGTTTGCAAAATGAAACATATTTCTTCACATTGTTTAGTAAAAACACCTGTTTTTAGGATCAACCCAATTAAGCAGTTTTCAAATCAGTATCACAGTTAGTTACAACCCAGTCGGCTTCTAGCGATTTGATTTAAAGTTACAAACTGTTAGCAAAGGGATGAAAAATTTTACCACATCATTAGATTGAGCTTGAAAATTCTATCAAAATTCATTACTGAAATGTTGTAGATAAGGCTCCATCCTATTGTCTTTCACTGTTGATGTACAAGAAATTATATTTTCTAGAAAGTGGGGCTGGCTGTGTAATTGCAGGGTCTTGAATTGTTTCTTTGCATTTTAATAAAGGGCATTGTGGGAGAGTTTATGGAGAGCTTAATAGTTGATATGTTTATTTAACAATTAGGGTTATTTCATGCTGGAATTTATATATCATAATGACCCCTCTCCATTTTTTTTTTTTTTT